CTATTAATTACATGTTAATAATATTAAAACAAAAAACAATAAAGGTAGAAGTAAAATTTTGGAAAAAAAAATTAACTTTTCTGATTTAATGAACGAAATAAAAATGTAATTAACAAAAACAAAAAAATAATTCAAACGATAGAAAAGTCAAAAATATGGCAAGAATAGCAAATGATTCGTATCAAAATCGAATACTAATTAATCGTACCGAAATCGAATACTAATTTAAAAACATAATCAAAAAAAAGGAAATAGAAATGAAATTTTTGGAGAAATATGTGAATAATTAGCATTTGGAAAAAGATGTGATTAATTAGCAATTAATTATTCAACAGAATTGCGTACAGGGATCGTATAGGGATTTTATTATCAGTTTTACATTTGTGAAATATATGTTAGAAATGGAAGGGAAATAGAAGAGATGGTGGCGTTACAATTGAAGAACATGATACGATTAATGTATGGCGAGGAGAGAGGGGGTGTTTTAAGCTTTTTCACTTTTTCCTACCACCCTAAACAAATCGACCTAAAGCAGCCAATGCCAATCAACGATCAAACTGTCATTGATGACCAATATCGTCATCATTATCATCATCATCGTCAACACTGCCATCATCACTGTAATGATATTACAATGTAATACAATGTCATTACAGTGATCGTTTCATCGACAAACATTTTCAACATGGTTGATTGCGATAGCAATAAATCCGAAAACTATTAAACGATTCAATCATCAAACAATTAACCAAACTGATGAATTATTTATCTATCCATTAATCGTTTGTAATGAGATATCACTATCATTTTCATCATCATCATCATCATCATCATCATCATCCTATTCGTTTTCGTTATTATTATCATCATTGTCATCATCGTAATCGTAATCATCCCAATCATTTGCATCATCATAATTGTCATCATCGTAATCGTAATCATCTCAATTCGATAAGTAGACGAACATAGATCAATCTTAGAGAGGAAGAGAGAGAGAGCAGGGAAAAGAGAGAGAGGGAAAATAATTTAGAAATAAAAAATTTTAAGCAAAATATTTCTCTTTATTTTTGCTTCCTTTAACAATAATATATAATATGAAATTTATATAAATCATATTTATTATTTTTCCTTTAATATTAAGCTTGTTTAATTAATTATAGGGATGATTAGCGATAATAATTATTTTGTTTTAAAATAAAATTTGATATTTTTTGACATCTTTCTTTTATATGATCAGTTAGTTAAGCTGTAGTCAAGAATGCTATATGACAATGCCTAAAGCTATTAAAATATGCAGATTAGAGGGAAATGAATGTTTATGCCAAAGGATGCGATGAATTCATGGAAAATAAATTAACTTCATCTAAACGAATATCGTTATCTCTCCCAATCTTTTCCTTCTCAATTATAATGAAAGGAAATTCAAAAATAAATTTTAGGATAATGAAAAAAGAATTTAAAATAGTTGAATTATATTATAATTATAAATATTGTAAATGATATGTAAATGATAATTAAATGATATAATTATGAATGAAATAACTGTTAATGATATTTGTAAATGATATTTAAGATTACTTACGTGATTCATGTTATCATTGGGTAAGATAATGTAATTTACGTAATTTACGTAAGCAATTTCACGTCAATAATACCAATTTCCCAATTATTAATCATCATTTATTTCCAGATATACATATGTATATTTGGAATATGCTAAAAGTGTTATTTTTCGTGAAATAATGCAAATATGATAAAATGATAATCAAATGCTAAGAAATGGAGTGAAAATAGAATCGGAATAATTATTAATAGTTATATCAGGAAAAGATGAGAGATGATAAATGGAATAATTATCATTGACATCATTGATTGTTAACATATTAATAATCTCAAATATCATATAAACATGAAATAGTATGTTGTGATAGGTAGCATAAGAAAGAAGTTGTTAATTTTGATCGATGAAAAAATTTAATCGGATGATATGATCCAACATCATTTTCATTTCTCATATTCCTTCGCTTCCCTACGTTCATCGATCTCCTATTCCCCATCTTTCATCCCCCGTCCTATTTTAATTAACCTTCCCATCATACATATTCCTATCTATTTTTCCTTTCATACCTTTCTTTGTGTTATCAAGGTCATTTCCATCTTTTTCATGTTACATTTACCCTATTTCTCATTCAGGTAAATAGCACTTTGCAAACTTCTTTCTTTTTTTTTTCATCATAATACCCAGTTAAAGTTACAGGTGTAATCTTGCCAGGTATCGCTTATTGTTACCTTAGAATAGGTAATTCACGCATGATATCCTATTTCTTATGAAAGTTTATGTTATTACTATAGATAATAATTACTAATAATAATTAAAAATAGTAATAATAATAATAATAATCGATAGTAATGACAATTATTGTTAATAATATTAATAATTAACAATAATAATAATAGTCAGAAATTCAAAAAATGTGTAGCAATTGCATTTAAGCATTGATTTAATTGGCCGGAAATTATATTTACTTCAGGAAATGCTTTAACAGTTTCTCGTTGTTCAACCAATTTCCTACGCTTTAAATAATAAGCTTAATAAGTGGAAATTGAATTCTTGTATCATTCTGAATAATTTAGAATAGAAATCGCAATTAGGGCATCAGTAACGATAATATTAATGTTATACTTAACAGCGCTGGTAACTAATATAGTAGTAGTAGTAGCAGTAGTAATAATACTCTAAATAGCTTCTCATTATTGATTTAACTAGGAAGTGAAGAAAAAAATTATATCGGTGTTATCGATTACTCTCTTTTATCATCGATGATAACACTAATTATAATCGTTGGATAAGATAAAATATGCTATCAGCGATTTGTTTTTTAAAAGACTAAAATGAACTAAAACTTTGTGCGGAAAATATTCACTCAAAGATACTTCAAATTTTATAATTAAAGCAAACTATTCATGTAATTAAAAATATCCATTTAATTAATAAGCAAATTTCATCCTTTAAAAAAGCTTTAAAGTCATTTCAAATTATCAAACATTCGAATGTCGCAGATTCGAATTCTTGCTATGCTCCTCAAAAATTTTTCAATTTTTTCCAAAAAGAAAATACTTAATTTTTTAATTATAGAATTGTTTCTGTTCTAAATAATTCGAACGTTCGATTTTTAATTCATACTATTGCCATTTCTTTTTTTTGAAGAAATTTAAAATATCACAGATATTTTCAGACAATTGGAATAAATTTGTGATAAGATTAAATTAATCGAAGATTATTCGTTGAATAAAAAGTAATTGCAACGTGGAAAGAAAAAAAACAAAAATTAAAATTAATTAAATTTAACAAATTTTTTATTAATGAAAGATCTTTTCTTCTTTTTTAAAAATGGATGACTAAAAATCAAAAAATTAATTATACAAAATGAACGAAAATATAATAAATTGTAAAAGCAAAAAGAAAATGTCAAATAATTGAAATCTGTTAAATGTGTAAAAAAGTGTGTAAAAATTTATTTTAAATGTTGAAAAAATACTGCAAATCGTTTTACGACAACGATACTTTATATCCGATATTAAATGATCGGTAAATATTTTGCATCATTTCTTTTTCTTCGTTCATTTAAATCAAATTAAATCATATTACGTATTTAATTACATTTCAAAAATTACATTAAATCAATTTGATTGATAATAATTTTAGTAACACTGTAATAAATGTAAAATTTCGCCCCTCTTCTCCATTTCGTCTCTCAATTTTAAATTGTCATTGTTAAAATTTCACGGCAGTATATAAAAGATTAATTATTTGTTTATGTCAAATAATTGAATTTTCTCATTTGAATTTGAGTTTGAATTTTTAATTTGTATAAAAATAATTTTAGATTATAGATATCAATATTGAAGTTTAATGATAAATATGAAAATGGAAGAGATAAGTTGGCATTGCATAATTCCTTATTTCATAGAAATATCAAACACCCTAATTTTTGGTATAATTAAAATTTAACCTATTAATTATAATAGAATAAATTGGCATAGAAAAATCAATGCAAATTATTCAAATTATACAATTCAGAATTTTTGATAATAAATAAAAACTCAAAGACGAAATAAACTAAAGGAAATGGTTTATTTATCTTCGCAATCTCTTTTGCTGATAAAATTTCAACTGCTAACATTTTGATCGATAAAATGATAAGAAGCTATTTTAGTCTCATCATTTTGTAATCCGCGAAAGCACTAATTTTCATAAATTAATACTTATTTATTATCGAACAAAAATTAAGCAATCATTAAACATATATCCTTTGTTTTTGTTTAATTACACTTTTTCTGTGACAAATTTCGATAAAATTTACACTTTAAATTTTATTTTATAAATTAATGCTTAAATTTTTTTACCATAAAAGTTTCATAATATTTTTATTTTTCTAAAGCATGATAGTGTTTATGATGAGGAATATAATAGTTTATAGAAGTCTTGCAAAATGATGATTTCGAAATCATGATTTTTAATTATAATAGCCAAATAAAGATGTATGTTCAAAATAAGTTTGATCAATTTTATATTTAAGAGATAAGCATGCAATGAATCAATGAATCATTACACAATTACAACATTCAAATGAAATGAATAACAACTGCTTACCTGGTCCACGTTGCGTTGATATATTTGATACTTTAATTAACATTAATTAAAATCTTTTTTATATTTTTACAAATTTAATTTTATCAAATTTGCAAAAATTAATCCAAAACGAAGATTACATGAAATTATATTAAATAAATTTTAGCAAAGTTTTATATAAATAATTTAACATTAATCAAAATATTCTAATTTCAATCACCACGTATACATTAATTAAAAAAAAAGATTGTATTATAATAAATTTTTTAATCCAAAATTTGATAACTTATAAGTTAGATATGATAATGATAATGATATGATAATATAAAGTATTATTGCTTTTATTAATTTATTAAACTTTTCCATATCATATAAGAAAATGAAATAAACAAAAGCATGCATTGAAATCACAAAACAACAACAAAAAAAAGCAATACCAACCATCTTCATCAGTTTTCGCTTGTTCCGGTTCACTACCAGGTCCATAACCCATTTTGCTACCGGCTGCAATGCTTACTTCATATATCGTATGCGGATTTAATCCCTTGATAATTGCGCTATTATCTAATGCAGCATCTTGAATCATTTCCAACCATTGTTTTTCGCTTTTTTCACCTTTTCCGGATGATATTTCGTCATCTTCATCACTTTGCCACATTTTACTACCATCCGTTTCATTATTTGCCAAAACAGGACGCCAACGTATCAGATAATTTCGAATTTTCTCCTTATGATATTCTAATAATGGCATCTTCCAACGAATAAACAAAGATTGCGATGAAAGCGCTTTTAGAATAATAATTTTTGGTGAAGCTGTCGGAACTATAACGAAAACAACAACAACAATCAATTAATTCAACCACAATAAAACTACAATAGCTATGAAATTAATTAAAATTTTTTCGTACTAAAGCAAGAAATGAAAATTAATGAAAAAATTCTTGCAACTAATAAAATTAATATATTACTAATTAACTATCCGAATAACAACACCAATAATTTTACACATACAAAACAATACATGCAAAATATATAAGCTGTATAATATAGCTTTCTTTTATAATCGTTGCTTATTGAGTGAGGTCATTTGGTCTCAATTTAATGGCTATTTAGTAAAATAAAAATTTATAAATATATATGCATATAACATATTAATGAATAGTTAATTGGATTAATGAAAATGAAAATGAAATTTCTGCTAATTCAAATAATTTCAATATATTCTTCATATTTATTATAAATTACGAAAGAAATAACAAAACGGATGATAATATTTGATAACAAAATGATAATATTGAGTGATAAATATTTGAAAAAAAAACTTATATTATTAATTTTAATTTAAATTTTTGAATTGAAAAATTTCTTACCATTTGGATGTGTTTTAACCGTAACATCCGTACAAAATGCACCAATACCTCTTGCTGATTGAGCTGCCACCCTATAATCATTATGTTGTAAATATATTTGCAACAGAGAAAAACAAATGTAATCTAACTTTTGATCTTATAAAATATGAAATTAAAACAAAAGATTCTCTTTTTTTAATTTCGAATAAGCAGGTATCATGAGAAAATGAAAATGAATAAGGAACTGAATAATTAATTAAGAATTATTAATTAATTTATTCAATTTCAAATTTCTTCCTTTTTCCTCAAAATTATTCAAATTTATTTCCTTTTTCCTAAAATTATACAAATTTAATAATTTCATTAATTACATTCATCTGCCAAATTATTTCTTTTTCTATCATAATTTTAGTAATTAATTTCACTGTGAACAATAACACTTTTTATTACATTCACTTGAAAATTGTCTAAATTAAATCAAATTAAATTTCGTGCTTTTTCTACTTGATAATTTAATTTTTATTTATTAAACAAAGCAGACACAAAAAGAAAGCTCTAACCGGAAAGAGTAAAAGGTATCAGGAAGTAAACCATCAATGATATGCTTTTCCACCGGTATTGTAAGCGTTAATTCTCTAGCATTCCCGGTTGATGAATTAAAATGAATTAAATAACCGATAATATTATACGAATGCAACGGTTTTTCCCATGTAAGTTGAATTCGATTTGAATCGAGAACTTTTGCTGTAAGATCTGTTGGTTGTCCCGGAACTATAAGAATTAATTATTATTAATTATTTGATTCATTCAAATTTGAAAGGTTTAAAAATAAAATTATACATATATTACGGAAAAAATAATATATTAGATGAAAAGAAGAAAGAAAATAACGAAGAGATGTAAGGTTTCAATGATATTAATTCCATAAATAAATTTCAATATTACTTCTTTTTTTTGAATTAAAATATATATATAAGTAATTAAGAGATATAATTAAGTAATATTAATTGATAAATTTATAAATTTCTATATATAAAATTCATTAAGAGATATATTTAAGTAATATTAATTGATAATTTTGTGGAGTTTCAAAATTTTGAAAATTTCATAAAATATATTTTATCGAAATTTGCGAATTTTTGAAATTCACATTATTCAAATAAGACAATCAAATACATCATTTTACCATTGATAATGCATAACTGTCAATAATGATATAATTGATAAAAATAACGACAATTAATAATTTTAAATTTTCAAACATATTTTAATTGAAAAGATTTTCTTACTTCCTTGTCGTGTGAAAACTGTTGCCAGTTGTGACATTGGACTTAATCCTTTAGCATTTCTTGCTTGTACATGAATGTAATAAATACTTTCAAATTTCAAATTAACTATCGTTGCAATTAGCTCATCCGATTTAGTTTCTTGCTAAAAGAATAGACAGATGATAACAATTATAATATTTTAAAAATTATTCATTTAAAAACTAAAGTTTTATTTCATCTCAAAATCATTTAATTCTATCCTATTTTCAATCATTGATTTCCAATAATTTTTGCTACATATTATAATATATCAATATGTGAATTAATTAAATATCGATTAGTTTCAGAAATCGATTAATACTATTTTTTTGAATTAATTTTTTGTTCAATATTTGTTAACATTTTTTATGGGTAATACTTATTTTATAATTCAATGGATGTTTATTAACCGTAAATTAGAACTGAACGTTCTAATTCAATTTAAATTAAAATTTACTGTTTTCCATGAAGAATACGATGTTGTTGGTTCCAAATTGGTATAGTAAACAATATATCCCTAAAAATATAACACTTCACTAAAATTTAATTTAAATTAATTAAATCTTAATTTTGATTAAAATTTGAAAAAAAATATTAATTGATCTTAATTTTAACTAAAGCTATTAATTATTTTAATTATCAATATTAATTATTTCCAAAATTTTAAAGGAAAAATTTCAATTCTTTTATTTTTATTTTTTTTCCAATTCTTTTACGAAAAAAGCAAAAAATTTTATTTCATATCAAAACATTTGTCAATTTAAAAAAAACGAAATTCCAAAATTTTTAAGAAATAATTTCAATTAATTTCTACCGTAATCTGTCCATTTGATTTCTTTGGTGGTTCCCAGCGAACTAATATGGAATTTCGGCTTAATGATCGAGCCTGAACCTTTTGTGGTGGACTACTTGGCTTTGCTTCATCAGTTTGCACTTCTTTTGGCAAACTTGCACTACCACGGCCAATTACATTCACCGATGATACTGTGATTTCATATAACTAAAATACAAGAATGAAAAATAAAGTTTAAATAAATTATTATTTATATTTTGTAAAACTGAGAAAATAAAACGATAATTTCTTTTGTTTTTGTTTTTGCTAATTTTCATTCATTATTTATAAACAAAAAGACATTAACAAAAATTTCTTTTCGTAATTTTTTAATTATTTAAGACTTCAAATTTGTATCAATTTTGTTGTCAACTGTATATAATATTCTAAAATTAGTATAAAATAAATTTTAACTTTTTTAAAAAATATCTGCGTGCACTTTTTAATCCAATTAGCATTACTTAATTAGTAATAAAATATTATCAAATATTTTAAGTTCAAACTATCTTCCGGACAAATTATTAACTGCAATATGATATTTATGAATCAATTAATATGAATCAATTAATGCTTCATTTTTGCAAAATTTTCATTTGGCTTGATTATCAATAAATCTGATAATATTCCACTAAACTTACTTGATAAGGTTCCAATTCAGTGATAACAGTGGTAGTGACATTTGCGCTTACTTCTTTCTGCTTGAATGCTCCCTCATCATATCTGAAATGTTATGCAAAAATCATTGTGAGGAAGGAAGAGAGAGAAAAGAAAAACTTGCCATAAATTTCAAAAGCGACTCTCTCCAGAAATTTTACTTAATTGAAAATTAAATATTCAAACAGCTTACTTCTACTCCTCCTCAATGAAACTAATAGTTTATTTGTCCATTTGTTCATTTTTAAAATTTCAATAACGTTTCATAAAATATTCAAAAAAAAGATTATTTCATACAAATATACAAATTTAGGCTCTACATGAAGTAATCCTAATTGCATCGCTAAAGATTTTTAATTCGAAATGAATTACTCGGTAAATAAAAGTTTAATATTTTATTTGCTTAGCAAAATAGAGAAAGTATTTTTTAACATTCAAAGATAAAATAATTATTTTGATGATGACTTCCTTTCCACTATATTTCCTAATAGTTTTTGAGAAATACAACAATTTTGAGGAATGGCAAAATTTTGGTTGAAAATGAAAAAATTGAAAAGTTCAAATTTAGTTTTGTTTTCGAACTTGCATCGTGAATTTGCTAGATTTTGCATGCAGTAACATTCAAGTTGGTTGTATAAATTTAATAAGTGATTATAAATTGAATTGCTAGATAAAATGTTAACAGTAGAAAACCAATAAGTAAATTAATCATATCACAAACTATGATTACTTATCAAACAATTAAATTGTTCTTGATTTAGCTTATAAATACTCTTTGCTGATATTTAGTTACTAACAAATAGTTCAAATATTAATTCAAATTTAGTAACTTACTCGATACTATCAGCTGGAAATATTGATGTTGGCATAGTAGCAACATTCCTTCAAAAAATACACACAAAAGGTTAGCAAACATGCATGTTAGAATTATCGAAAATGATTATATATTATACTAAATTACTCATTTACTGAAATTACAAAATACTTAAATAAAGTTGAACAAACATTTTTTGCTTACTATTTGTCGTTATGATAAATGAGTAATCAAAAATTCCAAATTAAATGTTTTTAGGTAAAAATTAATAATTAAATAAATATTAGTAATTATTTTAAAAGAAAATTACAATCAATAAAAAAGAATTTAAATGCATTTGAATAATTTCAGTAATTGATTGATTCATTTCCAATTCGACACGTTTATTAGCTTTGAAAAATTGCTAAATTTAAAGCTATTGATCAATCTATTTCATGTTAGATTTAACAGCTAATATTAAAATTTTAGCACTTTGAAAAATAAAGTTGATGCTAATATCTTTTTATTTACATGCATTTTATGTTTAATACACTGCAATCCGGGTTAGAACATGAATACACTCTCGTAACTGTTGACAGCAACTTTAGAAATCTTACTTCTGGCGATATTTTATGATATATTTCGTAACCGGTTCATCTTTAATATACACCGGATTCCAGCTTACGCGAACACTATTAGATGTTATATCAGATACTTGTAAATTCTGTGGAGCACGAGGTAGTGCTGTAAAAAAAAAAACAAATTATGATTTATATTTAAATTTTAAATTCAGTTTAAAAATCTCAATTTAAATCTGAAATAATTTATATTTCTTTTCATGGAATGAAACAATTATGCTTGACAAATATTGAAAATGATTATTTTACTATTTTATAAATTCTGATATCAGTGCGAATGTTGGACATATTTGTTTTTGAAAAATTCAATTTATTAAATGATAAGGGAATATTTGTAAAATCGTTGGAAATTTTAGGCATTTATAAGATATTTAAAAATAATTAATTCTTACATTCAATAACGAAAAAGAATAAATTCGGAGGCATTATAATTTAGCAATTAGCAATTAGCTAATGAATTTTACAAATGATCGAGTTACAATTAAAAAAATATATTTAATAATGATATGAAATAAAGGATAATAAAATCTTCGGTTTATGCATATATTAAGAGGGTCAAATGTCAAAAGGTCAAAAGTTAGCAAACAACAATATTGTCACTTTAGACAATAAAATTTGAAAGAAAATAAGAAATGAATAAAAATTTCTGGCAAAAATATTTCCTACATTTCACTTCAATAGTTGTCATCGCTTCGATGTTACCAAGTTTGCTGACAGCAACACAGGTGTAATTTTCCGTTTTCTCAATTCTTGTTAATGTTAGCACATTTCGACCTATAAAAAACTTCAATTTTTCAATTTTAAATACGAATATTTCAAATAAAAAAAAAATTTCCTTTTTAATTAAAAATAATTAATAAAATAATAGCTTTTTGTTTTATTTTCTAAAAATTCTAAAAGAAAATCTTTGCCTTTACCAACAAACTTTTTAATACAAATACTGAAACTATTCAAAATATTAAACAACTTTATTTTGTTAGTAATAATAATTTTTGACATCATATTTTATATTGGAAAACGATAAATTGAATAATGGAATTAAAAATTGGAATAGAAATTATTTTAATGTTAATTTTATTGTTAAAAAACAAAAGCTTTAACCAATTGGTGCAGCTTGTGGATCGTTAAGATATGTATCGTAGGATTTCTTCCAGAATACCCGTGGCATTGGATATCCAACCGCAACGCAAGTTAAATTAAGCGCACCACCTGGTGCTATTTTATACAAGCGTTCAAGTTTATATGAAAAATATGGTGGTACTCGTCGAACTATAAGTATAAACAAGGAATAAGATATAATATACGAAATTAAATATTACAAATTGTTACAAAACGATATACTATATCTGTATAAAGTAAATTATACAAATTTCTTATCAATTAACAAAAGAAAAAAACAAAACATTAAACCATAAATTAAATTAAACTAAATTAATACAACTAATTAGATAAATAAATTATTCAATTATTAAGTAAATAATTACAGTAAATGAAAGATAATAATAAATTAGTAAAAATATTTTTAAACAATAATTGAAATGAAAGGAAAAGAAAATTATTTCATATATTAATCTTCGTTGTTGCTGTTGTATCCTTTCTTATTTTACTACTAACTTCTGTACAATTTGATTAAATTTAAATTATCAAAGTTTTTTTCAAATTTAATTAATTATTAATTAATCTAACAAAACCTTTAACATATAAATGTGCAGCTTTCGAATGTGTAACACCATGAATATTCCGTGCAACACATTCATACTTTCCTTGATCTTCCTCTTTTGCTTGCTGTATCATTAAGGCACCTAAAATGAAATTTTACTTCACACTTTTTGAAATTATTCAATTCAGAAAAATGCACGATGAAGAAAACGAGGAAAAAGCATGCCATTTAGTGAATAATTTGTGTTTGTGTGATATGTTGTGGAAAACAAACAAAAAAGCATTAATTAATTATGTAATAATTAAAACAGGTGAAGAAATAAGCAACAAAAATTTTTATCAATTAATTTTATTTTGATATAAATTATATGATTTTATTTATTATAGCAAAAAAAATTCTCTTCAAAAAATCTTTCCTAAATAAATAGAATTCATTTTACATTAAGTTTAGTTTAACAAATATTATAGTTGCTTCTTTTAGTTTTATTTTTAGCGATTTTATTTTGATATAAATTATATAATTTTATTTAATATAGCAAAAGAAAAATGATAGTCTTCTTCTAATCAATTTGAATTCAATTAATGTAATTAGTATATTTTTCAATATTTTCACCTTAATGACAGGATGATGATATTAGATGGAGGAAAGAGAAGGTAGCAATAATGAAAAGAAAGAAAGAAAAAGTTAACAGATTATGATAGCGTCTTATTTTAATTTCATTTTTTAAATCAATCAATTTTAGAATTAATAAAGAAATTTAACAATATACAATAATAAGCTGTCATTATCGTCATATTTACAGTGTATTTAGTATCTGGAAGACAGCATACACAGATATATTTACAGAATGCTTTGTTGCAAGAAAAAGAAAAGCAAAATATGACCGAAGAAAATCAACATATCTAAAACAAATAATTAATGAAATTAGCATATTTGTGCCAAGCATTGACAGTTTTCTTTATTTATTAAGTAAAAGAAGGAATAAATTTAATTATTTTATTTTTAAATAAACAATTATTTTATATACAAATATATATTTTTTAACACTATAAGGATAAGAATTGTTTGAATAAAAATTTACTGAAATTCTTCAAATTATATAAAATAAATTATAATTTAAAAAATCATAATTGTTTCAGGTGATGTATAAAAATACGGTGCAATTTATAAAAAAATTAAATAATGGTGTAGTTAAAAAAGCTGTGTGAATGTGTATATGCTAAAATTATTTTTGTTTATTTAATTATTTTATAGCATATATATATATATATATAAATATATTGCCAAATCTTACCCATTGCTTTGAATCGAAAACCTAAAATTCAAAAATTTTCACTTTTTTTCATTACTTCTTTAAAGTATCCAAAAATTTTTAGCAATTCTATTAACGAAATAATTGCATATTATTGTATACAAAAAATTGAAAATATTTTATTTAAAACCAAAATTGACTTTCATTTTTTTATCATAGAAAGTATTAATTACAGTAAGTATACCAGAAAATAAAAAAAGTTTGTTCTTTTAATATACTGTAGAAACTTACTATAGTAAAATATGATTCTTATAAATATATTTCAATTTTCAAATACTATTATTATATTAACACACATTTATTTATTATTGATTTAATTAAATTTTTGCAAAAAAATTCCATATAAATTTCTTGTTTAATTTCATAATTACTTTTTCTCTTCTCATAATTGCTGTATAAGATATTTTTACATTTGAATTTTTAATTATTGCTAATTCAGAAGATCAAAGATGGAAGAAGGAAATAAAAATATAACACGAAAATTTAAATATAGAATAGTACAAATTATAAATTTTTTCATTTGTGGAAAACACATCATTAACGAATTATCATTAATTATCATTACGGTGGAAATATTAACGATATAAGATTGAAAAAAAATTATAGCAAACCACTGAAAGGATACTATTCAGAATAGTTTGATTGTTGTTTATAACTTAAGAATATAATATCAAATTTAAGAATAGTAACGAGTATTTAAGTACTTCTGATCTTTTTTCTATTTTCGTTCTTATCAATATCACTTCTAATTATGCTAATAATTTCTGTTTTGTATATAATATTCAAAATTTTATTATTAGATAAATTTGAAATATAATTATTGGAAATAAAATTCATCAAATATTACATTTATGAGAGAAAAGAAAATCTTTAAAAAATATGTCACACAAAAAAATTTTTTAATGAGATATTTATAGTATTCAAATAATTATTAATCTATTGATATTATACCATTTATAAAAATATTATAGAAAATATAAAATCATTTTTCATTTAATTAATTTACTTAAATACATTACATATATCAACTTATATTTCGCAGTGATGGAAAATAACAAAAGTAGAATGCAAAAAGTTTAGTATATTTATGTGTTAATAAATAAATTATAATTGAGATTATGGAAAATAAAAAGAAGAAAAGTTCCGTGTTACTAGTGGTGAATACCGGGAAAGATTCTAAGAAGAGGGATGAAATTGAAGATAAAAGGTTTTGCGTGATATGCAGTTTTATTAGAATTAGGAAAAAAATGTACCTGGATTACCAAGTGTCGAAACGGAATATCGTGTATTAGATCGAATATCAACAGGCATTAAATCTCGAAGCCATAACACTTTTGGACGAGGATCACCATGTACCCGACATGATACATGCGCTGTTCGACCTTGTTCAACTGATTTTAATATTGGATGAGCTTCAATTACTGGAAATCCGCTTGGTAACTCATCTAAAACAATAAGTATTTTAAAATTGATGTAATTATTTTCAGCTAATTAATTAATTAGCAAGCATCTTTCAAATAACAGTCCTTTTTATGCATGATTCTTTCAATATTGAAAAGTTGTTCATTATTAAAATTTACCAGGTGAAAGAACCGTAAGTATTGCATCAGCAATAACCGGACTACCAATTCCGTTATCTGCAGTACAACTTATTGTTGAATTTGCATCACTTAATCTAACCGGATCAATTCGTAATGTGCTCAATCCATTTGAAAGGGTTTTCGTTGAATATCTAAATGATTAGTAATAGTAATAATAAGGAAACATTCAGAGAATTGCAACTAATGGAACAAATAAATAAAAATTTAGGAACTGATTAATAATCAATTTACTGGGAAGAATATAATTATAGTTAAATTTAGGTTAGGATTATAATCATTGTAAAAAGTGCTATGAATAATCATAATTACACTAATATTAAGACAATAATTCGTAATTTTAATAAATGCAAAGAAGTAAAATCATAAAAATGTAAAAATGCTATGAATAATCACGATTAAATTATAATAATTAATAATAATTACCTTTATAATGAATAGCAATTATCATAAAATGTGCTATAGTAATTACTGTTATTCTTGTATTATAGTAATTACTATTAGTATTTACATTTTTACTATTATTTACTATTATTACTATTACTATTATTTATAGTAATTACTCTTATTCATTGTTGTCATCTAATTGTGTGCGTTTTAGTAATATTTTTATTGTTTTCTTTAATATTTCACTAACTTCATCACGTTTTTAAATTAAATATAATTGTTTTAATTTGCATTTGGAAAAAGAAATATTTCAACAAAAACTAAATGTATTCAAATACCTTAAATCGGTGATTAATAGTCCATTTTTCTTCCAAACTACTGTAGGCAATGGATTACCATCACCACGACAAAAGAAGCTAACACGTGTATCCGCGACTACAGTCGATGAATCGGGTCGAATTATTAATTTAGCACTATCTGTAATGAAATAATTTGAAACTTCATTGAATGCAAAAATTAAATTAAGCTTGGAATTTCGAAGCTAAAATAAAATATAGATTAAACCTTATCTCTTGATCATTTCATTAAAATTTATCTATAAAACAATGAAGTAAATAAAGCTGATTGAAGTTATAATTTTTCCACCACTTTCAATTGGTCATCTACGCTATTTTGTGAAATTTAAATTTTGTCAAACTTACACGTCAGAGCTTGAATATAACTCTGATATGCCCAGTCTGGAAGCATGAAAAATGAAAAAGCAGTATGGAAATTTAGTCGAACATAAATTTTCTGATCAGAATAAATCAAGTCGATTCAGAATAATACAGATAATAACGAACAATTGCTAATACAGAAATATGTCCGATTGTTCAAGTTTTCCGGATTTCTTTTTTACATATATTATAACAATTTTTGTTTTTGTATATATTATAACCATTTAAATGGTTTCAGGAAAAATTTAGGAAGGTATAGGAAAGGAATCTTACCATCATGTGTAGCAGATTTGACGAAAGCAAAAAAAGATAGAAGGAAGATGAAGTTTGAGCAGGACAATTTTGTTGTATTCAACAAGGCCCATTTTTTTAGCACTGGACCGGTTTTTCTCCGTTTCATGACAGTTGATTTGCTTGCTCCGAATATTTCCAATTTCTGATGTCTTTTACTGTCACCATATTTGATATGCCAAAAGTAACAGTTTTACTGTTTCTGGTAGCATAACTACCGATACTTTTGGCATCATTCTTTTTCTAATGAGGCCTTTCTTGTGACCAACGATGGTTATCTTTATTCGACCGTCCTTACCGTCAGCTAAATATGATATATTTTAAATTTCATATATCCTTTTTTTCCAATTTTTTTGCATTATTTGAATAATTTAAAAATGTTTTCTAGCGAATACTGCAAATATCTGATATTTGTATTGTAATTATAATCCTTTAATTATATTTCTAATAAAATTTTGAATTTTATTAATTCTATTTCATTCTCTTTTCTGTAAAAAAAAGGTCAAATATTTTGAAAATAAAAATAAAATATTTTATAGCATATTTGAAAATTTGTAAAATTCAATGACAAATTTTTCGTAAATCAGGAAACTTTTTTTGCATATCTTTGAAGAGAAGAAGAAAACGAAGAAGGAATAGTTGAAGTCATTTTTAACGAAATAAATTGTTTCTTAGCTTTTCCCTAAAATTCTTTCCCTAAAAAAATTATCCAGATTTTCTCTACCATTTGAAAATGGCAGAAAATTATTGATTTCATTTTTAAGTATACACATATTTTAAAAGTCATTTATCAAAGTAAAGTATCTCATTTGAAAAAGGCTAAATAGCGTCAAGAAATTATAACCATTTTTGATCATAAATTTTTCAAACTTTTTCTTTTCATTATTAAAACAAAAAAAAAAGAAAGAAAGAGAGAAAAACTTTTGTTTTAACGAAATGAATTTTTCCATTTTTGCATTCTACCAAATTGCAAAAAAAAATAATTTTCTTTTTATTTGATCGGAAATTTTTTGATAAATTGAAAAAAGAGGAAGAAATAATAAAAAGGTTCGATTATTTTAGGATTAGTCAAAAAAAATAGGCACTGAAATAGAAGAATGACGAATGATAATTGTGAATATATTCGTAGTAAAATATTTTAAATATCCAAATATTGTTCCACAAAAAAAATGAACCAACCTGAAATGTGTGAAACTAATCATTAAATCATAAATTCATACTGTAATTGTTTTTTTATTTAAGGCATTTATTTTTATGCCATAAAAGATATGCCTATAAATGTATTTAGAAAGAAATTAACAGTAGAAAAGAGATGGAAGAGAGAGAGAAAATTTGAAAAAATATTGTGGTGAAGAAATATGAAAGATTATGATGAGAATAAAAAATTATATTTAATAAATCGGAGAAGCAAATGATATGAAGGAGTGATTAAAGTGGTAATTAAATGAGTAAATTAATTACTTATATTTAAAGGAGCTGTCAATTGCTAGTAATGAAGAATGTGTTGTAAAATTCGTTTGGTTGCTTTCTTACCATTTCAATTAGTTTATAACTTGAAAAAATAAACCAAAGAAGAAATATTTAGAAAATTAAAGTAAGTTAAACTAATAGTAAAAAAGCGATTTTTATTCTGTACTGTAAAATTTAAAATACAAAAATTGGATTTATTATACGCAGTATTGTTAAAAAATTAAAATCTTCAACGATAAATAATTTACATATAGTAAATAAGGAAGGAAAATCTGATCATATCAGGCCTTAGCCTATTAATATAAGAATGGTTGTTTTCAATTTTTAGAATTCGTCAAAATATTGGCATAGTTGAAAGGTCAGGTCAGAAAAGCGTTATGGTATAAAAAAATTTGTTTATTTTATTCTTCGCACATTCATTAACGCATAATTTTTGACATCTAATAGTAAGTTTTTTTAAAAATTGAAATCCCTTTTTTTTTCAATGTAACAAATCGAAAAATTAAAAATAAACAATTAATAAACATCGTTAATTATGTGTACAATAATGATTAAATCATAATTATTCAATTATTTATTGTAATCAAAAAGTTTAGAAAAGCTAAGAATTGCTATCGATGAATCTGAAATTTCGCAATTTTCAATTTTTGCCTTTCATTTAATTATTTTAAATTAACGAAGTACACTGCGAGGGATCAAATGATTTTCCGCGAATTTATACGACATCGCTTTCAAAGTTCATTTTATTTGAAATTTCAATTGAAATTTGAAAAAGTATAAGAGAGAAAGAAGATAATGAAAGTGAAAGAGAAAATGAACGAAGTTTGAGAAATTTGAACGATAAGGAAGTAAACTATAGCTAAAATATTGCAAGTATAATAATTATAATCATTATTATTGTCACTATTATTATGTACTATTATCGTTATTAATTATTATTATTTATCATTATTCTTCTTATTATCATCATTACTGTTATTAGCAGGTTATACGTAAGTATGTATTATTATTATTATTTTTATTATTACTATTATCCAATTATTTATTCATAAAATTTTATTCCAAAGTGCAATGGTAAGAACTATTTTTCATTTCATAATTTATTTATTTATTTATTATGATAATATATACTTTAGACGAGCAGCTGCATTAAGAATAAATTTTACGATAAAATATTTTCAATCAATAAATCTACGAAAGTTATTTATCGAATGAATGCTATCTCAATCGCTTCAATAAATAAATAAATAAATAAATAAATAATTTTTGGATAACTATAAAATGTAATATTATATTAAAACAAATTTATTATGCATGAAAAATTTATAAAATGAATCATACTTTTCTGTTATAAAAGAAATTAGAAATCATATTATTGTTGATTATTTAGTTAAGTGAAATAAATATTCAATAAAAAGTGAATAATAATTGATGCATGCTTAATACTATAGCAATACAAATTATATATTATAATTATTCTCGAATTATATTAAGCATAAATTTTAGATTTTATAAATTTCTTTGAGACTTTAGTTTTTTTATCTTCGTATTTCACACAATTCATTAAACAAAACTATGTAATATAATTAATTTTCATTTAAGAAGTGATAAGATATGTTATGATTAAATGAAATTGCTATTTTATAGTATTAGTTATTGCATATTATAAGTGAATAATATATCAGATAAATTGATAGAAATAATTCAAATAAAAGTGATAAGAATAATTCAAACGAAGTGATAAAAATAATTCAAGCAAAGTGATAAAACAATTCAAATAGAAGTGATAAAATAAAATGATAAAAATAATCATTAATAATAAATTCTAATATTTAGTAATTTATAATATTTTTTTAATCGAAAAAAGATTTTTTTATAATTAAAATACATGAAATTCAATAAGAATTTAATTTATTCATATATTTCTACAAATAAAATATTATCAACTTTCATTTTAAAACAATTAAACTATTATTCGATTATTAATTATTTATTCATTTATTTGTTTAAATTGCCATTTATGGTTTACCTTTTTTTCTAATTTCATAATATGGTAATTGTTTTTTTTATCAATTTATGCTAGTTATTAATTACAAAGTTTATAATTATGCTAAATTTTTGATAATAATCAATTACTAAATTTCTCCAAAAGTTATACAAATTAATTAGCAAAGTAATCATTTTACATTGTTTAACAGAATGGATAAGGTGAACAGTAAAAGATGTAAGACGAAATACATATCATATAATTACAAATGAATATTTAATTGAAATTTAAAAAGGAAAAGAAATCGATGAATGGATAAAATAAACACTTCAAAAAAAGGAATATAATTTTAGTAGTTTGACTGAAGGAAGGTGTTAGAATGACGGATAAATTAAATAGAAATTGAAAAGTGTGAAAGGGTGGGAAGGCGTAAGAAAGCTGGCAATTCAATATTCACAATGTTATATAGGGTTGGTAAAATCATACTTTCCGCTTCACCTGATCAAAAATATGTCAAATCTTTTAACCCCTCTTATGAACTGTCACTTTCGTAATATTCGTTAAAAACGAAAAATAAAATATTAAAAAATTTTGAGGAAATTTTTTTTCACTGTTAAATTTCTAAAATTTGACAATGAAAAATTTTGAAGCAAAATGCTTCATCAAAAATATCTCTTGTTTTGGTGATATTTCTCTTTCTTTTCTTTTTGTTTCAATATTTTGAAATATTATTAAAAAAGTGACAGCTTATATAATTTATTACATATTTCTTTGATTAATAATATTATAAAAAAGTTTTTAATTAAAGAATTTTGAAATTTCATTTATGCGAATTGATTAGATGAAATTTGCAACATATAATTTTAGTTTGACAATTGTCGATCAATGATTTATAATGAATAATTTTAGAAAGAAATGATTCATATTTATGATTTATAATGAAAAATTTCAAAAAGGATGATGATTCATGTTTGTCAAAGCTAAAGAAATGATGATCAAATAATTTCAGTTTTCATAATGCTAAGACAAAATAGTCAATTTTTCCGCTTCACTAAATTCTTCTTCAATTTTTCTATTTTATATTCATAATTGACAAATATGATTTGTAGCAAATATCAATAATGAAAAGCAAAAAGGGAATTTTGAAAATAGTTATCAACAACCGGTAATTTATGCCATATAAATTAATTTAATAAAAAAATTCGATTCGAATATTCATTTCAAGTCTCAAATTATTAAGTCACAAATCTCTTTCTTTTTTCAAACCGAATATTATTGATTTT